TGCCTGCCTATCCTTCTGCTTGATGCTCTCCAACTTTCTTCAGAAGGTCAGTAAAGATAACCAAAAAGGTAGGGTAGAATCGTGTTTTTCTCCCCTTTTTTGGTCACACTTTTCTTCAGGAGGTGTCCTGGGCTTTGACCAGGATCCATGTTTGGATTCTGTACTAGATTTATGTGGCCCTGCTTCCTGAGGTCTGCCCTAATGTTTCCTCACAGCTCTGTTCCCTGTCCTGATGGGATTTGTCCTTTCATTTTCCCATATGTTCAGTTACCTACAGTTTAGTATTGAGAAACAGAAAATACTATTTGGGTTAGATCTGTAAGATTTTATCTTGTTTCCAAATCACATTGCATGCACTGAAAATTAGCTTTGTGCTAATGTGTGGTGCAATTTTGGGATACCCCAATCGTAAACAAAATGGCCTTTGGTTTCCAGGGCTCTTGAGAGCCCCCAAACAAAGATTCCTTCTAAGCACTCTCCACACTACCCAGACCCAACTCAAACATCATCTGCAAACAAATAACTTGCTCCATGGGTCTCAAGTTGAACTGGAATTTTGTCCTCATGACCCCCCCCCCTTCTCAGCAGCCTTTTTCAACAGAATGTGTTGAAAAACACGCACACACACACAATTAATGTGTTTCCAGCTGAGTGCCCACTTGAACTTAGTGAAGTCAACAATAACAGTGAATGATTATTACAAAGCAAAGGCTCAAGTGTTTAAGGGTCTGGCTCTTCTCTAGCCATCACACAGACACAAATGGCAGAGTACCTTTGCAAATGTCTGAACTGCTTTGATTTAGAGCAAATTCACCAAGACGGAGGCAAACAGCAGGAACTTCAGGAATGCTGCTAGGAATTCACAGCTTTAGAATGCCTGTACTAAAGCTCCACTAGGATTTGCAACCAGAGCATATCCTGAGAATAGGTTTTCCCAAATATCTTGATAAAAACTTGTCAGCAACAAGCCATTTTGCAAAGGAGAGGTAAAGGAAAACCTTTTGTTAGCAAGGATAGCCTGGAGTATTGCATGAAAGAAAAACTGCTGAAGAGCCTCAGTGAACTAGCAGATACATGCCAGAATTTGAGCACCATGATAATTTACCAATATACTAAATAATATCATCAACAAGTAAACCTGCAAATACCAGACACAATACAGAGAGAGTCAAACATGCCTTTGCATGCTCATTAATTTCTATGGGGTTTAGATACACCAAAATCACTTCGGACAATGCCAACTGCCTTTTAAGGTCTGAAGTTATTGTTCATGTACAGCTATTACTTATTCTTTGCCACTTCAAAGTATTCAGCACCTAACATTATGTTCTAAGCACATTTCTAATTCTATAATCAGTGGCGTTAAGTGAAAAAGTTAATTGGCTACAATAATTTGAATTGTCAGAAGAGAGAATACGAAGCTAGCCTATTTTGACAGCATGTATGCGGAAGAATTCCTGAATCATACTTCATATTAGCAAATCCCATAGAATTCCTAATCCATGCACCATACTAGCAAATGTCATTCAAACTCTAAAGAATTCTAGCTTAAAAGGTTTTGTGGATATATGCCTGACCTTCTCAATTACAAGATGTATTTATGACTGATATATTATCTGCATTGATACGTAACCTGATAAAATTATATAAGTGAACGAGCGAGAGAGAATTGTTAGCTAAGAGATCGACATGGTGTTCTTTCTTGGTTATTCTATATTTCAAAATATAGTCTCTAGCAGCCAAGAGGTCTGCCTTTCATAAAATTATTCTAAAAAGCACTTATTACAAAAATAGTTTAAAGTAACATACTACTGAAATGGCATAGTAACTAAATTTCCCCAAAGTAAAATTCAATTGGGCATCAAGCAGGACTAATCTATGACATTTTCTTTTGCTAAGTGGCTGCATTACATAATATGAGTGGTGAGCCACAAGGTACCATGCAGCATTGCAGAAGATTATGGGAGGGAGGTCTCAGACTCTATGATGTTTCACTGATATTTATAAAAAAAGCACCTCCCAAAATGGGAGTTTGGTGAGGGACTGTGGCTCAGCAGAAAAAAACACACTTTGTATCCAGGAAATCCCAGGTTCAATCATTGGCATCACCAGTTAAAAAATCTTGAGTAGTGTGTCTTGGAAAAGGCTTTTCTCTACTTGAGGCCCTGTAAAACTGCTGCCAATCAGAACAGATAATAGTGAGCTAGATGGCTGACTCAGTACAAGGCTACTTCATATATATACTCTGAGATATACCGGTACTTTATGTTTAGCCTCTAGGGTTACAAGAAGTTCCATGGGGGGCGGGGGGCGGAGAAAGACTGTGTCAGTAGTTTCCCTCTCCCCAAAACTAATTGCAGGTTTGGAGGGGCATTTTAAATTGTGAAAGAGGTGATAATCCTTAATTTCCTCTTTTTAAAATTGTGGACTGTCCTAATTGCATCTCCTTTTTGGCCCTCTGTCTGTCCTCCGCCTACCTAACAATCTGCCCTCAAAACATCAGGGAGCATCCAGCTATGGTTTCCATTGCAGGACAGACTGGGCACTGCTGTCAAACAAAGTGGAATGCTCCACTTTACATGCTGAACGGTTGTGCATCATAAATAAGACCCTGAATTATGGCCAAAGTGCTTAACTGGAAGAAGAAAAGATTCCTGGGTAGATGTGCCCTAAATATCTATAATTTTATCCCCCTGATAAAGAAAGAGAAGAAAGAGAAACTTCTTGCAACCCTAGAGGCTGAATTTCCTAAAATTCGCAGAATTACTTCACTTGTTTTATGTTGGTCCTGGCTGGAGTAGCAACAGATGTCTCACACTGTTAAAAGGGGCAGCTCAAAACTAAAAGAAGATAAAGCAGATGGATTACAATCTTAGCTTTTAAGTGAAACATGTTCATAGTTCTTGTAGTCTAGAGAGTATGCAAAAAGAGGTTCTCCAGCTAATCCTCGGAAAAAGGCATATGATGTCTCAGTCAAATACCTGGGGAAAAATCACTGTCTGTTCACAGCCTCTGGGTACCATCTAGTGCTCACAATCCAGAGAAGGTTAAACTTATACACGTTCCGTTAGCATTGATAAGGCTTAACCACAACTTCACTGCCATTGTGCTGAACGATGCTAAGGCCACATCCACATGGGAGTTTCCATCGGACCCAGACTAAATGGGCAACTTCCACCAAATTCTTCTTCCCACCACTGACCCACCTCATGTCATTCCTCAGGGTCCCCTATTTCTCCAGGAGCAGCATTTCATGGAGATCAGTGGGCTCCAGTGGGAAATTCCATCCTGCCATTGGAAATTTTAGTCTGGACCCAACCTAGTACAAAAACATCCTCTGTAGTACAAAGGTTTTTTTCATAACTGGCGTGCCCTATCTCCTATACAGGCTATAAATGAGATTACACAAAAGGAGCGGCGGGGGGGGGGGAACTCTCCTTGGGGGGGGGTGGGAACTCTCCTAGGAGTAAATATGCAGGGACTTAGTTGGTACAGTTCCATAGGCAGAGAAGACAAAACATGGATTATCACAACAAAATTTATCATGGGTGTTAACAGTACTAGCCCTTCATTGGCTCAGTAGCACTTATCGTATTGTCGTTGCAGCCATTTATATGGCACGTTTTCCTTGGAATTACACGTGGTTCACTGCAACTGAACAAGCCTAAACACACACACACCTTTATTTTTGTGGTTTAAAATTATTTCATCAAAACAACACTACAAAAATAAAAATTCTTTTAAAAATTCTATTTTTTAAAAAAAAACCCTTAAACTAAATATATATATTTATTTAATCCCTAACAAAATTTAATGTCATATTTAAGAGAATTGTGCTAAGGCAGCTAGGTGAATTATTTAATTAAAGCCAGCTTTCAATGACAGTACGTTAGAAAGAGAACGAGGACTAGACCAATCGGCCTAAAAGGGGATGCAGACGGGGATCCTCACACATTAGAAAAATAAAACCTACTAAAGTACATGAAATGCGGATGCTCTGTGGATGATTTGCTGTGACAACTGGAGTCCTGTGCTCTGGTGCCCAAGATTTAGTGTGGGCAGAGCAGGCTGTATACTGCAGCGAGTCCTCCCTCCCTCCCTTTTGATTTTTTCTTCAAGCACAGGAATAACATTTTGCTCCAAATATTTTTTCCCATTGATAATTACAAACGCATAGCATAGAAAGGACTTGATTTTTCTTATTGCTTGGCGCATCTTAGAGAGGGACATCAGCTACACTGGAAACGTTATCATTGCCCAAAGGTATACACAATAGATTTACGAGTGAGGAAACAAGAAGTTACACTATGTAATAATTAAGTCGACATAACCAAAGTAGACTAAAAGAGCAATTCCTACAAATTAATTTGTTTAAAACCCACCTTTTCTTTTGCTTCACCTCAATCTTGTTAATAATTCCCTGTGCATTAAGTCAGAGACACAAATTATTATGAAGAGCATCTCATGTTTCCTATTGGAAAGGGTATGTACACATTTTTTGCAACCGCAGGCTGTTCATGATTTAATAGAGGTGCAGCGCCGTTCTTGTAAATATTGCTCTGTGAAATTTTTTTTTGTAATCATGGTTAATCACCATAGCTTCAAAAAAGTACCAAATCAGACTTTAGCACCCTAGACATAGAAGGTATTGCATTTTGGCAGTGAGACTAGATTACTGTAATCCACTCTGGCACCATTCAGTGTTAAGAGAAGGAAATGGCAGGTGGTATGGTCAGCAGCTTGTCTTCACCTGGAGAACTCCAGAGAATCAGACTTAAACTAAACAAACATCAAGCCGAAGTGAGAGTCATTGGAAGCCTTGCCTCTTGCATTGTTTTATTGAAGTAAACTAGATTCTTTCCCTTGGCGAAGCAGATCATCATCCTGAAGAAGCACATAGACAATTCATGAAGTGACGATTTTTCAAGTAATGATCTTTAGTTGAACATCTATGGTCTTCATCTTCAACAGTGACTGTACTGGTTCTATTTGTAGGCTGAGTCTGAAGCATCCTTATGGTGTATTTATCTCAGAGGAGTTTTGACTGGATGACATATCAGAGTCTGTACTTTCCTTGCACTTCTCCAGATCATGAAAATAAGGGTGACATAAGGCATCATAAGCTGATATTCTCTTTGTGGGGCTGAATTCTAAACATTTCTGTATATAGGGGGAAAAAGAGACAGTCATGAATCAAAAGGCTATATTTAATCTGATCCAGCAATGCAACTATTATGAGATGTACCTCAACACTTAACAAAAGCTTTAATTGATTATGATAAAACACAATAATGGGAAAAAAATATTTTGTTTTGTTTCTAGCTCTTCTCTTTCACTTTGAATGAGAGAAGGAAACTGCAAGAATTATTCATGTTACAGACGGCAACTGCCTATGGACAGTTTTAGATATTTGGAAACCATTTATAGAAACTTATGTGTAGATCTGCCACCACCGTTATATTTTTGTCTTTACTTTATGTATACATTTCTTTCTTTTAACTTTATTTAGTTGCTGGATTTTAAGTCTCCCCCCTTGTTCTTTTTTCCTGCTTTTTGAAATAAGTAAATAATGTTTACAGTGAATGGAACAAATTATTTAGACATCTTTCCGTAAGTTGTAATCAAAAATTCTGACATTGGTATCCATCATCACTATGACTATTAATTTAATAAACCTAAAGTATTGCTTTTTTTTAAACATACAATGCAAAAGGCGAGGAGACCCTGCTTCTAAAGGTTTGATGTGGCATGTGGCTAACACTTACAAGTAGCAAGTCTTTGCCAAGGTCATCAATATCAGCTACGAAATTTTCAATAGGCTGAGGGGTTCTAGATGTGAAGGCATTTCGTGGAAGGGCAACATCATTAGGCCAATCCTCTTCTTCTGGAAGCCCAATTACACTGTGAAAGAAAGAAACAAGCTTCAAATAAAATTTTAGTGCATTCTACTTAGTTCACACAGATGCACCTTTGCTCTATCAAATTTCTCATGAGTAATACAATTGTTGTTGCTCATATGAGTGTATTCCCATTCAATATAAGATTACCATCTTTCATCCGTATTCTTCAATACCTTGCTCCATTGAAGCCCATAGAGCTTTCATTCCAGAACAGGTATACTCTATTTTTTACCCAGAAACACCTTTACAGTGGGTGCTCCCAAACATTTTCATATTTACAATTGTTCAACTTGACACAGAATCAAGAGTCTGGTTAGATAGACTCTAAAGCAGGGGTAGCCAAAGTTGCTTAACGTAAGCGCCACAGAGAAGAAACATCAGATGTCTGAGAGCCGCAAGATATTACACACATGTTTTATTGGAAAATATGCAAATTTGCTTTTTATTAACGTTAACATTAAATAACATGGCCAGAAATAAAAACAAAAGAGGTAAAAACAGATATTAATAATGATATTTAAAGAGACAAATGTTTTCTCCGAGCTGGCCTGGGTGTGTGTGCTTTGAGAACGCATTTAAAGTCAAAATTGCTTTCTTTCTCTGCTCCCCCCCAATTCAAGCCTATCGGGGGTGGGGACGAATGGACGACGACACTGGCTAGGGAAGGGAAGACCGGTTGAGGAGGCATGACTCCCCTTCCCCAGCCACCCTGCCGGGAGCCACACAATATGTGTGAAAGAGCCGCATGTGGCTCCCGAGCTGTGGTTTGGCCATTTCGAAAACAGCTGCTGAGTAGAAATCCTGGGAATCAGGATGCTTAACAAAAAGCCTAGCTGAAATATTTAGCTATCACTTCATGTGCTCTGTTCCATACAAAACCGTCACACTCAATTGAACCATGTCTCTTCAAGGCAAAACATCATCTGGCTAGGAACTTGATAAAACCAACATGGTTGCAAGGTGCCACTAGGGTGCAGGATTGTTCTTGCTACCAAGCCATCAGTGTCTCTTTTAGCGCCTGTACTGAAAGCAAGGGCATTTCCATATAGAAGAGTTTTCAGAAGTCAGGGTGCTGATCTAGCCCTCAGACTGCATGATATCACATCAATCCCATGCTGATCCTGACAGTGCTAAGGCAGTAAGATGATCACTGGACTAGAAAAAAGGTCGAAAAAAGTGCCTGGAACTTTTGTAACACATGTGCACTAAGAAAGCAATCCCAAACTGGTCTACTCAGAACCCTACTCAGGTCTATTCAGTGGGGTTTACTCCCAGGAAAGGTTATTTGGATTGCTCTGTACGTACGTATATATTTATTACAGTCATTAGACCATCCATAAACATGAACATTGTAATAAAAAACATTCTAACATTTAAAACTACATAATATAAACAGAATTCAAATTTGAGCCTAGTTATAATACAATTTCTGTATCCTCATGATCAGTACACAAAATCTAGCAACTTGGTAAGTAATTTTAGGATTCATGTCAGATAGAATCTATTGAAGCCTGGCATTATTTGTGTGACCAGCAATCTTGTCCAGATTGCTCTCTTATTGTGCTAAAGTCAATCACTTAGAAATGCTTTGACAAAACATGCAGGAAACTATTACTCACTCGAAGATTTTTCCTAGTTGATCAACATCAGAGTTTCCACGAAAAAGTGCCCTAAAAAACAACAGAGAAACACTTTAAAACGAATTATTAATAATTGAAATTTTTGACTTTTCACTGTGTGTGGCTTTGTCATGTCCTTTCCAATAGTAGCTGTCAGAGCTTCAGTTTCTCATCAACCAAACCGAAATGTTGAAACCCATCCTACATATGGTGGCAGCAAAGTTCACTGTTTGTACAGGCACTCCAGAAAGCAGGGTTTCAGTTGCTTCCTACCACCTGGTGACAAAAGAAAATCAATGCTCATTAAGGTAAAAAAATGTTTATTGTAGTGTACTTTGAAAAATACAGCTAATATAAGATTTTTCTTCCATCCACAGTGCCGAAAAGTTTTTGAGATGTTATGCGTTTCACACAATTCAATGAATTCTTTGAATTAGCACCACTGATTGCAACTCTAAAAGTCATACACTTGAAATGGTGGTAGTACATTTTATGGCCAAAATCATTGCCTGTGAAACTTAGGCCCCGGTCACACAGGCCAGAAAATGCGGGGGGGGGGGGGGGGGAAGCATGGCTGTTAGCCCTGGAGCAAAGGCGCGGGAGCCCGATCACACGTCCCATCGAGGTCCCGTGGTTAGGCTGTTAGGTACTGATCACACGGTTATCCTGCAGCGCGGCAAAGAAGTGGTGCAGCACAATCACACCGGCAATCGCTAGGCGCCGCTTCCGTGGCAAACGGGAATCTTTTTTCACACCAAAGTTTGCGCATGCACATGATCGTTTGTGCGCATCCTGTGGAGGCTTACAAAAAAAGGAAACATCCGGTGTGCGACGGGACAAGGACGGGCACTGGATGCGGCGGGATTCAAGCAAAAACGTGATCAGACGCCCGCCCTCACCCTGCGTTTTCCTGAAACTAGTACATTGTATGTGATAGTTTTTTACTCTGCATCTTCGGTGAGAAGCCACGGGTGTACTACGCTTCCCAGATGTTGTGGTGTGATCACACACCGAAAATCCGCCTATCATCCGTGTCTTTAGTGTGTGAACTTTTTCATGTGAACAGGACCATAATTTGATTTACATCCCTTTCACAAAGAGGCATGAAATCATTTATGAAAACGAGGAAGAGATCTGTGTCTTCTGCCTTAAGAAAGTCGCTTGCATTAAAAAACGGAAAGACTATTTTTTGCAAGTCTCATACTAGTTCCTTAAGAATGACTAATCTTGAGCCAGGCAAGAGTATCAAAGCATTTTCAACAGATTAACTCACTGGAAACCACCTCACAGCATGACAAAATCCACCAAATATGTAACATAGGAAAGGGAAACTAATGTTTGGGGAGGGGGAACACAAGGCCTTCTATTTCTAATCCAAATACATTACAGAGCCACGTGAGAACTTCTAGAACTGCCAATACAGCAGCCTCAAATTCTGGGCTGGAAGCCAGGTATGAAAGGCAAGAGAAATAACTTCCAAAGACAAATATCTGGATTCTGTCACTGCTTGTACAGTATAGCCCGCTAAGATGGCAGTTACACATTTTGATGTCCTTGTTTTCTCCATAATACTGCATCAAAGGTTTGCTGATGAGCCCTGCATCTTGGCTTACATTATTTTGCTTAAAGGTCTACCAGCACAAATCATGTTGTCATAGCAAATTGCAGTGCATGTGCTAAGAAAATGCAGTTTCCCCAGACTTGCCATAGCTGTTGTTTAAATCTTCCACAATAACTTCCAGTTACTTGGAAGTAAGCTATAATGAACACAGTGGGACTTAATTCTGAGCAGAGATGTATTGGATTGTGTGTGTAAGTATCTGGAAAGGCCCACTTTTGGGTGTGTGTTTGCTGAGCTGATTCAGTGCATCGGACAGCCACAAAGAGACAGTGCCAGTGGACTCAAACTTTGTTCTGTGCTGATCCCCGACAGTCATAATGTAAACCAGGGAGTGCCAGATGTCACAGTCTAAAGGCGCAGCCATCTAACAGAATCCCTGCTCTAATATGGCCCTATTCCTTCTGGCATTTTGCAGAGCTTCTGGTTAAATGCTATAGTTCTAGACCAGCCATGGAGAAAGCTGCCATCTGGACAAGCCCTTAGCCACAGCTGACAACTTTGCATGCTTTGACTGATTTCTAGTTACTTTAAGTCCAAAGCAGCTAGCCTTAACAGCTTTGCATTTCCTAGTTCGCATTTTAAACCCAGAATTTTCCAGTGGGGTTAAATATACTTCTTCCTCTTGGGTTAATATTTTTGTGAGTGGATGCCAGACTTGGCACAGGAGACAATTCCAACTGTATGTCACTTATCAAGCACAATGGCAAGTTATACAGAAGTTTTACGCAGTGCAATGTTACCAGCCAAAGATATGGGAAGGGAGGAAAAGGAATAAGTTGGTCATGGCTGGCTGGGGAAAGCTGATGCACAATGAGTCAAGAAAAGTGGGTCTGCTGTACCAAGGGTATTGATCTGAGCATTAATTTACAATGGTGGCTTTGTTCCTCCCATTCGTGACTTATCAGATAGCTAGAATCACAATAGCAAATTAAAGTCCAAGATCCAGTCCTGTCAAATGATATTTTACTCCACTCTGAAAGTTGTATGTAACTTTAGTGGTGCCAAATGCCAGTGTGCTTTATGTGGAGTACTGCACATACTGTGATTGGATATGTATCCATGCCTGGGTCATAAAATTTGCTCTGTGACCTTAGGCCAGTTCCTCTCTCTCTCTCCTCCTCCTATCCAACCTCATGAAAGGAAGAAAACTGAATAACCTCACCACGCTGAGCACCTTAGAGGGAAGATGGGGTATAAGTGGGATGAGAAAAGGGATTTAAAAAAAAAGCATTTGCCAACATAGCAAATATGGGGTCGTGTTGTAAGTAAACTACCACACCATTATTAGCAGATCATTGTCGAAATTAGGCACACAGAAGTGTGTCAAAACAGTTCATTCCATGGTTACAGAAAAGCTTGTGTAATAATATATAAGTGGGCCATCTTCAGGTGAATCCTGTTTTCAGATTTCTGCTCTACCTACCTTGATTACAGAGCAGGACATGAAGAAAACGCCTTAGTGAAGAGCTGAATGCTACCTAAGAATTTTGCCAGGCTTCGTTTTTACTTTGTGCTGAAATTACATGATATCAACTGTGGGTGGGGCAGAAACTGGGAAGTACTTTCCACTGATGTCAGACTGGGGAGACCCAAGTTCAAATCCATACTTTGCAATGAAAACGGAAATATCTTAACTTTTAGCTGTAATATCTTAACTTTCATTATCTCCTATCCCTTCAACCATACGTAGGTAGGATTTGGGGAAAAAACAGATCAATGAATAACTGAATATTACAACTATTTAAAAACATGTACAGGGAATTTCTCAACAGCTTCCAACCAGTCCGTAGAAAACAATCATTTCAAACTAATATCATTACTAGAATACTGAACGTCAGAATTAACAAAAACTCTCAATATATTGCACCTGGCTCTAACAAACAAGGGACTATATAACAACACATGGAAGACAGGTTCTAGTGCTTCAGAAACACACAAACACATTCTTTCTATCCAGGAAATGCCTTTAAACCTTCCAATATAATCAGCTGTTGGAAGTGAACTGCATCTTGCTAATAAAATTAAACATCTATATTTACGGTTTTGCATAGTGATCAAATAATTAGCAGCTATAGAGCAAGTAGTGGGAATATGCCCATAATGCAGCAGAGAACACTTCCTATACAAATCAGTACGTAGCCTGGACCAATCTTGCAATAAATTAGCTTCATTTATTGTGTTTCAATAAGCAATCATAGCAATAACTGAATAAATTATCATCTGTTGAAAATCCTAACTCACACAATTTCAAGAAAAAAACATTAACGCCTGATGATGAAAAATGAGTCTTGCCTCATCAGACATACTAATTGACTACAGGATTCTAGCAAAAGTATTCTTAATCTCATCTTGATAGCATATTTCTGTGTAATTGACTGTAGGGAACACGACCCAATTTCTAATCCAATTATTGAACTGGAGACCCAATTGGGAATTCCTAATATGATTAGAAAAAAGCTCATTTGTAATCTCTGAAGATCTTTGACAATCATGTGCTGCCCATAATGGTGCCCCATACAAGATTGCAGGTAATAGGTTTGAGATATATAATTTGAGCAGTGCAAAAAGGACTGTCTGCTTTTCATTAAAAAAACCCCTCAAGAATTTAGCCAGAAGCCTCAAAATGGATACCCAGATATCTATAATAAGCTTTCTCAAACTCCATTCCCTAACTCTCCAAGGATCCTCCATCTTCCTAGTATCTCTGAACTCTAACATTTTTATTCTGACTTATGCTAAGTTAACTCCTTTTCACAGTAATTAATAAATTGCTTAATTTGATTTCTGAAGCCTTAACTAGTCAATGATAATAACAAGATATCATCAGCATACAGCTTTAGATTAACTGGATGACTTCCTAATGATGAAGCCTTTACCTTCACTTCACAGCAGATCTTTTATATGAAATGCAAAAAGTGTTGGAGTCAAAATGTATCCTTGATACACTCCTTTAAATACAGGAATTCTTTCTGTCAAAAGACCCTGCTTTTGAACATTGAACCTGTAAAGCTGTACTTGTGTATAATAATCAAATTAAATGCAATAATTGTCTAGAAATTGCACACGTTCGTAACCTGGCCCATTGCTTTTCTCTGCTTATGGTGTCAAATGCCATCTTCAGATCTATATAGCCTTATATTTTTCAGTCAAATGCGACAGAGTTATGCCATTATACATTATGGAAAAGTTCTTCCTAAAACCGAAGTGTTCTGGTCCCAAGATACTGCAATTTATCAATCCAAGACTTCAGTTTAAAGTCCAAACGCATAGAATATAGTTTATCTAGAGAAGAAAGCAAGCTAATAGGCCTGTAATTTGCAGGATCTGAGCAAGTACCCCTATTTTTGTAGATGGGAACTACAGTTGTTGACTGCCAATCTCCAGGAATTTTGCCTGTTTGATCCAACACTATTAAAAAAGCCAAGAGTGA